ATTGCTTAATTTATATGATGGATGGATGTACCCTATATGTGGATTATATGATGAAACCTTTAATCACGTATGGATGTGTAGTGGTCATTATGATATTATTAAGAATATTAGAGATAAGACAATTAATCATCTCTTGACTTGGATATTAGAATATAATGATAATATACAAGATTTCAATGCTCTTATGGCGCTTGATATATGGGATATATCTTATGATCCTAATGTGTTTACTTTTATTGATCTTATTAAAGGAATTATACCTATGTCACTTTCAGAATTGTTAAATTCTTGGACTATAAAGAAAAATGTTGTTGATGTTTTGATTCAAATGAGGCAGTTTATTTTTAATGAAATATTTGAAAATGTTTGGATTCCAAGATGTTCGCATTTGAAGGAATTTGAACTTCGTTGGGAATAACTAAAAAGAAAAAATTAGAATTCAAAAGCGTTCGTTCATTACCTAATAATAATAGTAGTAATAATATTATTATTCATTATGATTCTTTAGATAGTGTTAGGAATTACATTTATTTTGGTAAAAATATAATAGAATTTTATACTAATCTTACTTCGTAGCACCATCGTAGATTTTAGTAGTTTGATTTATATAATTTTATAAGGTCAATTTTACTTTTTTCTGCAGGGCAGGCTTCAACTTACCAAGTTTCGGCTAGTGTATGGGAGTTAGTGGGTTAATTATTTGGTTATATCTTTAATAGTTTCATGTTTAATTGCCCCACCATCAAAGTAGATTCTTCTGATAGTTTAGTTCATTTTTTTTATTTTACTTTTCATTTTTGATATGTTTATAAAATTTGTATTCACTAACTATTACTGTTAAATAAATAAAAAAAATCATTATTACTATTAAAGCGTATTACCCTCAATGGTTTCTGTTTTTCTAGTTATTTATTAATGAAATTTTAATTTATATGGGCTGATTTGTTTACCTTTAATTAAAATATTAATTTTATTACATTTTTATTATACAAAATACTATATAATATACAGTAAATTGAAAATAAATATTAAAAAATTTTTATTTAATGTTATTATACTATAATTTGGTAAATATTTCTTTTAAATTAATATAATTCTTAGCACTTACTATATATGTTAAAAATTTGTATCTCAACTTAAAACGTAAATATCACCAGATCCAGTAATCCAATTGGCAAGCTCTTTTTTCGTTCATATAGACCAGATCAAAGGCTTTCCAAAGAGCCTAAATTTATAAAATATGGATCAGTGAATCCCAAGATATTTGCATTTAAGCATGTTAAAAAGTTCGTATTTCAACTTTAAACGTAAATATCTCCGGATCTAATGATTCAATCAGCGAGCTCTTTTCGCCTATAAAGTCCAGAATAAGGGCTTTCCAACGAGCCTAATATTATAGAAAACAGATCAGTGAATCTTGATATATTTGCGTTTAAAGATGGTAATACAAACTCTGACATAAAATAATTATTTTTATTGTTTGAAAATATTTATTATGATACCATCTTTTATATGATATTTTTATTATATTTTTATAAACATTTATAGCTGCTAAAACTACAGTTGTCCCCTCTATAGTCACCCCCTATATAAGAACACCCCCTATTTAGTCATATCATTGTCAAGTCCCGTTTTTTTAAATATTAAAATGCCCCTTTTGTAGTCACAAATCGATTATAGTCACTATCACACTAATAGTTAGTCCCGATATAATAATTAACATATGAAAATTTCCCCTTATATAGTCATATCACGTGATTAACAATGTATTCAGAAAATATATAGCACGTTTTGTGCATAAAATGAATTTTCCTTTTAAGTTGATAATCACCACATGTTTAGAACTTTTTCTTTACAATTTTTATTTGAAAATGTATTATTTTTCGATTTCAAACTTTTTTCATTACATAAATTCATCCTTTTACAAAAACTATCTTTTTCACTTTTTTTTATATCTAATATAATGCCACCTATACGTTTACAAAAAGCAAGGAGAATTCGTTCTGCCATTAGTAATGAAATAAAAAAAGAAATATGTGAATATATAATGGCAAATAGTAATGTGAAACAGGAAGAAGTTGCACTTTACTTTAATACAAAATATAATGAATTAAACATTGATAGATCAACTGTATCAAAAATATGGCAAAATCGTGAAAAGTGGATGGCAGTTCTTTCAACTTCACAGACTGCATGTACATTTCATCATAGCTCAGTTCAGTATCCAGAACTTGATAAAGCCTTGCAAATTTGGACAGCACAAGCAGTGACCGCTGGACTTCCTTTAACTGATATGATTTTACAACAAAAAGGAATAGAACTTGCACAAATGTTAAATATTGGAGAAAATCAAATAAAATTTACTAATGGTTGGGTGTACAGATTCAAAAAATGGAATGGACTTCAAAGAGTTAAGTTTTCAGGTGAGGCTAATAGTGCCCCTATAGAAACTCTTCCAGAAGAACGTGTACGTCTTCGTGCACTTTTAGCTAAGTATGACAAGGAAGATATTTATAATGCAGATGAAACTGGGCTTTTTTTCCGAATGGAGCCAAACCAAACATTGAGTACTGGTGCAGTTGCGGGGCGTAAAATGGTAATTTTTATTGTAATAATTTTTCGTTAAAATAACTCTTTAAATGTTTTTTATTTTTCTGTAATCACTTTTTGACAAAATAATTATTTTCTGTAGGAAAAAGCTGAGTTTCTGTTTTATTTTGTGCTAATGTTACAGGATCTCATAAAATTCGTCCTTTGGTAATTGGAAAATCATTAAATCCCCAATGTTTTAAAAATCTCAACAAGTCAACTCTTCCAGTCATTTATTGAGCCAATTCAAAAGCATGGATGAGATCTGATATTTTCATTGAATGGCTTAAACACCTTGACTTTTACTTTCGCACAATGGATAGAAGAGTTTTACTTCTTATTGATAATGCAGGATCCCACTTTAATCCAAAAAGATTTAAAAAAAATGATGATATGGATGATGAAGAAATTTCAGAATCTGATGAAGAACAAGAATCTAAAAAACAAAAGAAAAAAGAAAAACCTGCTGTTGATCTTACTAATATTGAGCTTGTTTATCTTCCACCAAATAAAACCGCTCATCTCCAACCTATGGATGCAGGTATTATCCATAGTTTTAAAGCTAAATATAAACAAGAATTTTGTAAACATTTAATTCGGCAGTTTGATTCTGGAGTTGATCATGTTAAGTTAAAAAAATTAACATTATTTTTCTATTAATGTTATTAGTTTATTATTTTATTTAGAAATAAGTTAAACATTAAGGAGGCAATTGATTATATTGCTGAATCATGGAATAATGTCACTCCAACAACAATTCAAAATTGTTGGATCAAAACAGGTATACTTCCATCTTGTGATGATGATAATAAGGATGAAGAAGATTTAGATGATGATGAACTTGAAAATCTTCTTATTAATTTGCTGGAAGAAACTGCTGATGTATTGGAATATTTTCAGTTGCTTGATCGTGAAATTCCAACTTAAGAGCACCTTACTGAAGAGCAAATTATTGATATTGTGCGAAATGAAGAAAATCAAGTAAAAGAAAGTGAAGATGATGACGAAAATGAAGAAATTCCTCTGATATCAGTGAAAAAAGCAATTAATGGGTTGGAAACTTTTGTTAATTATTTTGAACAACAAGAAGATTCAGAGTTTAATATTGGTGATTTGCGTATTTTTAGAAAATACTTAAGAGTAATTAGAGTTAGAGAGATCAATGCAAAAAAGCAAAGTACACTTGATGGTTTTTTTGATAGGTAAATAACATTAATATAATTTTTAATAATTGTGAGATGTAATACTTTTATTAGTTATAATAGTTATAATAGTTATAATAGCGTAAAATAATAAAATCAGATTTGATATACATATTAGAAGGCAACGTGCTTTATTTTTATCATGTTATATAATTATATTTAAGATTATTATATAAAAATAACAAATAAAAAAAAAATTTATAGTCATGCTAATACAAAAATTTTATATATATGTGATTATATTGTAAAAGTCTCATATAAGCACACCTCTCTATAGTCACAGCATTGTGTGGTCCCAAGAGGTGTGACTATAGAGGGGGACGACTGTATATAAATTTTTATTTTACTTTATATTTTATTAAAATATACTTACTTTTTAATAATATATGTTAAAAATTCCATATATATGAGAAATGGGTTTTTTATTAGTGAAATGGGGTTTTTCACAGCTCTTTTACATTTAATAATTTAAGTTTCACAAATGTAAATTTTTGTTTAACTTATTATTTAGTCAAGTGATCATCAATCAGATGATTTTTTGGTATTACAAAACAATTTTGAGTAACAAAAATTGTGAAAATCAATCAATAACTCTTTTTAATGCAGAGTAAACTAGAGGTAGGCTCCGGTGAAAAACGTAAATCCGGTCATCCGGTCAAATCACGTGATTTGTGTCGATCATTTCCTTTTTTAGGTCGAATGTTACACTAATTTCCAAAATCGGTAAGATCGATTTTTAGAAAAATATTTTTTGTGGAACGGGTATCGCCTAAAAAGGAAATGATCTACATACCCGTGATCTACATCACGTGATCGGATGAAATAACGGATTGAACGGATGACCGGACCCTACCTCTAGAGTAGACAAATCAGCTCATATGCTATTTTAATATGAAATAAATATAAAAATTTTACATTATTTATTTTAATTTTATACATTGGAAAATAGTTTTATATATTTGCATTATTATTTTGAAAAGTTATAAAAAAAAGATTTATTTAAATTACAAACTAAGAAATTTGTAAAATAATTACTACTCTAGTCTTAGTGTTTAAATAGATCTAAAAAGAATAAAATACATCATATCAAATATTACTTGAAAAACTATAAATTTTTTAATAATTAGTTAATTTCATTTGTTTTAATATCTAAATAATTACATAAATAATCTGCAAAATTAACATTTCTGTATATACAACATCACATACCTAATTATTCGTATCTTTAATTATACAATCATTCAAATCTTCAGTTATAGAATTACTTTTATAATAAGCTTGTGAATCTTCACTTTCAAGAATTACATTCACTTTTCCACTAGTAGTAGATTGACTTTGTAAATCTCTACTTTCAAGAATTTCATTCAATTGTTTACTAGTAAAATTAAGTAAACGACTTGTATAATATGCCTGTGGATGAGATTCAGTAGCAAGATTATTGTTATGCCTAATTGGTGCATTTATAAATTCCATAATATTGCATTTTAATTCTTCATTAATATCTTTAATTTTCATTCTTTCAGGTTTAAAAATCCATTTATTAATAATAATGCGAACTTCTTCAGAAGATGGCCTTTTTAATGGATCTTCATCCCAACATTTTTTCATCAAATCCACATAACATTGTGGAGTATTTTCAATAATTTCAGGGCGTTCACCTTCACAAATACTTAAACTAAGTTGAATATCATGTACTCTATCATTAAATGGTGGTACCCCAGATGTAAATTCCCACATAATCATAGAAAAACTATATATATCACTAGCTGGAGTATAAGATTTGCCTCTTAAAACTTCAGGAGCCATAAATGGCATTACACCATAAATATCATACTTTTTCAAAAATGATTTTACAGGTTGGCATAATCCTAAATCACTAATATAAATTTTATCATCACCATGATTTAAAATATTACCATCATGAAAATCACAATGAATAAGATTTGCTCTATGTATCATTCTAAGTCCACAAATAATTTCGTGCAACATATATAATTTTTGTTTCCAATTATTTCTAACTATTCTTGTTAAATTTTCTCTTAAATTACCTTTATTTGCGTAATCCATTACTACCATATATTTTGAAATATTTGGATCTTCTGTAAATCCATAAAAATTTATAATATCAACATTATTTGAAACAGTTGCATGATATTCCCACTATAAAAAATAATAATAATTTATTAATATAAATAAATTTTAATTTAAATTAAAAATAGAAAATAATATACTATCATACTTCTTTTAAAAATTCATTTAAATTTTCATTTAAATTCTTATGGCATTTAAGAATTACTTCTTCATCTCTATTATTCTTTAACCAAGTAGCTTTATATATAGTACCAAATCCTCCTTCATTAAGATATTCAACATTTTTAAATTTGTTATAAGGAAACCATTGTAATCTATTTTTAAGAATAAATTCATCTATAATTGCATTTCCACTTCCTCCAAATCTACAAATTTAAACAGTTAAAATTATATTATAGATATTATAGATTGTATTATAATTTACACAAAACAAATTATTACTTACTCTAAAATTTAAATAGGGATTTAATGTAATATAATATGAGTCTTAATTTTTGGATAAACATATAATAACCTATAATTTACAACTTACTAACTAAAGTAAAAGATATTTTTCAAATGAAAAAATTCAGTCAACAAATAAATATTATATAAAATATATAATGATAGAGATACTTACAAGCTAGATCATAAATAATTTTTTAAATAAAGAAATTAATTAGTTTAAATTATATGTAAATATTACTAGGAAACAGGAACTGTTGTAAGTCCGGAACGAAAAACTAAAATTTGATTTCATTGGGTGACGATCACGTGGCGGACAGAGAAACTCACGTGATCGATTTTTTTTTCATAGTGCGTAGACATATATTGTCCTTCGCTTCGCTCCGGACAATAACAATATGATGTAATAATAGAATTAAATAAATAACTTATGACTTACCAACTAAAATAAATTACAAAATAATTTTTTAAATAAAGAAATTAGTTAGTTTAAATTATATGTAAATATTATAACAATAAGTAATAATAGAATTAAATAAATAACTTACTCCCTATATTATTTAATAATTTTTTAAATAAAGAAATTAGTTAGTTTAAATTATATGTAAATATTATAACAATAAGTAATAATAGAATTAAATAAATAACTTACTCCCTATATTATTTAATAATTTTTTAAATAAAGAAATTAGTTAGTTTAAATTATATGTAAATATTATAACAATAAGTAATAATAGAATTAAATAAATAACTTACTCCCTATATTATTTAATAATTTTTTAAATAAAGAAATTAGTTAGTTTAAATTATATGTAAATATTATAACAATAAGTAATAATAGAATTAAATAAATAACTTACTCCCTATATTATTTAATAATTTTTTAAATAAAGAAATTAGTTAGTTTAAATTATATGTAAATATTATAACAATAAGTAATAATAGAATTAAATAAATAACTTACTCCCTATATTATTTAATAATTTTTTAAATAAAGAAATTAGTTAGTTTAAATTATATGTAAATATTATAACAATAAGTAATTATAGATTAAATAAATAACTTACTCCCTATATTATTTAATAATTTTTTAAATAAAGAAATTAGTTAGTTTAAATTATATATAAATATTATAACAATAATTAATAATAGAATTAAACAAATAACTTATAACTTACGATCTATTAAATAAATAAAGAAATTAGTTAAATTATATAAATAATATAAATATAGATATCATATTACTTACACCCTGTAGTATTATTGATTATTAATTTGTTAGATATAAAGATAATATAAAAGTATTTACTGCAAATTATATATATTACTTACAATCTAGTTATTTAAATTAAGAATATAATTAGTTGTATTATGTAAAATATTAAACAAATAAATATAATATATATATTGTAACTTACCATCTGTAATATCAATTATTAAATAGTTGTTTAAACAAAGAATTTAGTCATTTGAATGTTATGTAGAATAAATAAAGTAAAGGACCAAAGATTTAAATAACTGATAACTTACTAACTACAGTATTATTAATCATTAAATAAATTATTTAGTTATATGGAATACAATAAAAATAATGAGTAATTCATTTAATATTAACTTACAAGCTAAATATTTAATATAATTTTTATATAATATAGTTAGCCTAAATTATATTTGTAGTATTTGAATTGTTTATGAATTATTTCAGCTTGTTTGATATACCTTTAGATTCCTTGGTGTTACATCCTTCAAATTCCTCAATACTACTACTTTCAAATTCTTTAGTGCCACTTCCCTCAAATTCTCCAGTGTCACTTTCTTCAAATTCTTCAATATTACTGGAAACTAGTTTTGTTATATTGCAAATTTGGTAGAATTATATTTGATTATTTACAATTAAGTTTTTTTAACAAATAAAAATCTTAATATTTCAATTTTGTTTTGTATATTATATTTAATCTGGTATCACACAAAACTAGTTTTATTATATTGCAAGTTAATAATTTTGAATAATTCTAATTTATATTATTATTAATATTATATGCTTTACCTTTACCATCCATTGCTATCAAAACTCTTCTTAATTTGAAAAAGATAAAGTAAATATCTTTTTTTCCTTTTTTTTTATTATTAAACGCCTTTATTAGTATGAATAAATATGGTAACAATATTTGTGCAAAATGCATTATGCGCAAAAGCGTTGATCACAAGTACAAGATCACAATTTTCGATTATGGCACGATTTTCCGATGAATGATTTCCGACAAGTTTAGCCGGAGTTATGCAGAATTATGCACTAGCATGTGATCAAACGGCCAGCGTTAGGCTGTTGGGAAAATGTCCTGTCGGGAAACGGTCCGTAAGCGACACAAAACTATTTTTATAACTTAATGAAATGATTTACGCCAATTGTACACAATTTTTTTTGCTTATATATATTGTAGGTGGAAACGAATCTAGGACAAATTGCGGCAACAAATTTATCTCTGAGGAAGGGATCAGCCATATCCGCAGTAATTACGTGAGAGAAGAGTTTACGATGATTTGGAGTTTTTAGTTTTGACTTGGACAGTAGCAATGTAAATAAATGTAGACAAACAGTTGTTTTGTTCAAAGAAATACAAAAAGCTAATGTTGTGCAAGTCATTGTGAATGGATAAAGTTACTATGGAGAACGCGCTTTTCGGGAAGATGTACGCTCCACTGCGGGGCCTAGCCAACTCTTTGGTGGAAAACGCTCTTTTTGGGAAGATGGACATTTCACTGCGGGGTCTAGCCAATTCTGTGGTGACTGGTGGTAAGTTTTGAAAGAGAGGTTAGAAATAGAGTAGTTTTTGTGGTTTTGTTTTGTTTTTTTTGAGAAGTGCGAAATGCGTAAGGGAAAATGGTAGTTGTTAGTAAAGTATCTATGGTGGGAGTTCAATGGAGTTTAACATTGGCACTAATGCTTGGTTAAAAAGTTGTTAAATCAGGCGTATAAATAGCTAGTGTTAAATTTTTTTTTTTTTCTCTTTTTTTGAAGTTAGGTTTAGAAGTAGTTTTCTTGTTTGTATGTTTTGTTTTTGTTTTAGTAGATAGATACTTTATTAGCAGATGCACGTCGTCTAGAACATGATGCGCCATTTAGCGATCATCATGTTATTAATAAAGTTTTTTTTTTTAAAAAAAAAAAAGAAAGAAACGGAATCTATGTGGCACATATGTAGATACAGGATGTTGGCCAGAATTAAAGCATAGTGCCGGACTAGGATTTTGTAATGCTGGCCAAGATCCGATTTCCACCGGTATTCAGAAACATATACACCGCACATTATTGATATATTTTGTCAGGATGCAGTATATAGTCTTTACATCCTCATTTATATATTTTTAAAAGAAAAATATCATATCAAATAAAAATTCTAAGTACTTTATTTTAAATATCTATATTGTTGTTACTGAGATTTCACAATAATAATTATAAGTAACTGATCAAATATTTAAAATTAAAAATAATGGGAAAGAAAATTTTTTAAAAGGAAGTCACTGCGGGCAGAATCACGTGACAAATCACAGCTGTTAACTCAAAGTCCGGCATATTTTATAAAAAACTTACCAATACATTAATAATACTAAAAAAAACTAAAAATTCTTCTAACAATAAACCCGTATGCAATTTAATATATTCGTGTGTTCTTAATATAATAATTACCAATCGGAGAATTAGAGATTAACACGTGCGCTATACGTCTGACGGTCGATATATACACATCATATGTGGCATCGTGTCAAGGTGTCGTCGCCTCCTATGTGTTGCTGCTTGGTTGTAAGTATTAGAATTGCTTTTGGCTTTTTTTTTAAAATCGTCCTTATAATTTGTTCTACAATGAACTTTGTACTTTGTGAAATAAAAATAAAAAAATCATATGTGGCATCGTTTTCACGTGGCGTCGTTTTTTTTTTTTTTTTGAAGTATTCACGTTGATAACATATAAATAATTAGAGTGTCACTGCATAAGCTGTTTATTTAGAAAGTTTATTGCGCATTTTACTGATAAAAGAACATTCTAATTTAATATATCTATTTATTTTTTGATTATCCGATGGCTGTGAAAATTTCCCAATTAAGAATGATTTTTAATATTATACAAAGATTTGTGAACTTTTAAAATATATAAAGACAAACTAAGCAATCTGTTTTTTAAAAAATTCTTCTATCAATAATTTTGTAAAATAGAAAATAGAAGCCGGAAACTTAAAATATTTTTATTTCGTCCTCAAATTACAATATTTCTTAATTAAATAGTAATTATTTTTTATTCATTATAACAATTGGAAATTTTGTTATGGTGCATAAAAACATAAAAACATCACAAGTCATCTAAAGTTAAAATTTTTTTTTTTTTTTTTTTTTTGAGTTGTTTTTATCTCAACAAAGAAAGTCTTTTTTTCCTCTAAAAAATTTCGATGGTTCGTTAAAATTTGCGTTCCAAATATTTATTTATTTTTTGAAACGCGATCTGATTCTTTTTTTTTAAAAAAGATTTTTTTAATTATTTTTAATTAATTATTTATTTATTTATTTTCTTCTTTTTTCTCTCGTTTTCCACCAAATTATTCGTTTGCGAATCAACTCACTTTTAACCTTCTAGGTTGATAAAAAAAATTAACACTAAATTTGGTGCATTTTAAATCATAATAATAATAATAATCTTTATTAACAAAGATAACTGACAAAGTTATTCTTGTTACGCTTAATCCGATTTCTCCTCCGAAAACAATATTTAAATAATTATTAACATTATATTATTAAATTACACGGACGTTAGAAGTCATCCAAGTGACACATATATCACGTGTTGATAATAACAATTTATATTTATAGCTTTATTTTGCGGATGCGGACAAAATGTAAACCAAGGAAACAACACCAAAG